TGTGTGTGTGTGTGTGTGTGTGTGTGTGTGTGTGTGTGTGTGTGTGTGTTTGTTAGAACACTGTCACCTGCAGTCCGTGTATCCATCAAGATAACACACTAGCTCTGTCGACAAAAGGTCCTTCTGTTGCCCTTCCGTCCTTGCAGCCACACCTTTCTCCTCCCTCTGTCCTTCCCCCACCCAATTCTTGGCTTTTTAATCTGCTCTGTATTGCTTGCCTGCTGTCATTTCAAAATGCTATGTAAATAGACTCGCATGGCATGTGACCTTTGGGGACTGGCTTTTGCACCCAGCTTAATTCTGAGTCTTCAGGTTGTGGTGAGTATCCAGGTGTTCTCTGCTCATGGTTGGGAATTTCTGGGACAACTGCAGCACCCCAGTTTCATCACCCTCTACTTAGGGACACCCAGCTCTTGTCACTTTGGGGCTCTTACAAATAAAACTACCATGAATATTCAGTTATAAGTTTCAACCACCTGGGTCAAACACCCAGGAGTGAAATTGCCAGGCTCTGTGTGCTAGCTGGGTGTTCTGTTTGCTAAGGACCTGTCTCGTTGTTCTCCAGAGTGGCTAAAGTGATCTGGGCTCCCAGTCGCCAGGCCGAAGTGGCCCAAGGTCCCCATCTGTTTTATTTTATTTTTTTTAAATTTCAGGCATAAAATGTTTTTTATAAACACTTTATAAAAAAGTGTTTGGCTTTTTTATAAAAAAAAAATGTATTTGTGTATGTGTGTGTGTGTGAGTATGTGTGGGTGTGGGTTCTAGAAATCACACCCAGGCCACTCAGCTTGTAGGCACTTCACACTGAGCCATCTTGCTGGCGCTCTCGGTAGTTTTCAAAAGGCATTTCCCTGGTGGCAGAAGATGGCATTTTCCCAGATGCTTATGTGCCATCTCTGTTCCCTTTGGTGACATGTCTGCACATCTTTATTCTGGATGAGTTGTTCTTTTACCGCACAGTTTGGAAAATGAAGGGCTCCTAGGTGCCAGGTTCTATGATAGAAAGAGCAGTTTACACAGGTACACACACACACACACACACACACACACACACACACACACACACCTTAGAGCTGACATTCCGGAGTGAACTGAGAAAGGAGGATAATAAGCTATATTCTATGCTGCCAGGAGGCGCAGCAACAGGGGCCAAGATGGAGGCACACAGGAGTGACCTGGTTGGAACAGTGCTCCGGGGGTCTGACACCTTGAGCATTCAGGGGGCAAGTGTCCAGTGCAGGGATCAGCAGATACCCAATACCCAGGCAGAGCTGTGGAGAGAGGAAGCCTGCGAGGAGCATGGTGAGCTGGGGGCAGGCATGTGACCTGGTTTGATTTGCAAAGCGATAGGACGCCATCAGGGACCCCGAGCAGGGGCAAACGGATGTTTAATTTCTGCTCCAACATCCTCACTGACCCAGCAGCCCTCACTCTGTCACCTCCCATCACAGGCACACCCCAGGGGGGAGTGGGGTCACCTCCCTCCCCTCAATGCCTTTGAGCCTGGGAGGCAAGAAGAGGTGTCAGAAGAGCTATTTAACATTCCTTGGCAGCTCAATCAGACCCTCTCCCAGACAGACAAGTGTCAAATATTCATGAGAATGACCCATACTCACCCCTCCCTGCTCCTGCCTCCCTCTCATTGGGATGGGTCTGGGCCACAGGCTTGACTCCTCTGTGGGAGTATGGACAGGCTCCCTCTGCCCTTCATTCTCTTCAGAGATCTCTGCTACCTCAGGAAGAGAAACTGTCACAACCCTGACCCTGAGAGGCTCAAATTGAGAATTCTGGCCACTCAGCCAGGTAGAGGAAGCCAGACCTAGCCAGGCCAAAATGATCTAAACTTTGGAGTCAGATTGCCCATGGCAGTGTGACATGCCCCAGACTCCTCAGGGACTTTTTTTCCTTACCTGTAAGAAAGGTGGTGTGGCCCACCTCACCGGGTTGCGACGATAAAGTGAGTTTTAGCTCAGACCAGCATGCACTAAGGGGTCTCGGCCTACCCCAGGGAATCACAGGGTCCACCCCACCTGCCTAGGATCTGAGACAAAACCTACTGGTGCCAGCACTTCGGGTAGGGGCAGGGGTGGGATGGTGGGGCTTCTAACAAGATGCCCCTGCTAGCGGCATTGAGGCTCTGAGGTCCATCTCTGCTCCTCCTCCTCCCACACTCAGACTCTTCAGCAATAAATTCCTGAGATAATGAAGTACCAGCTGTCAGACCCACGCAGCTCCCCTATCCCCCTCCCCCGACTCCTTGACCAACATACAGATTTCATTCAATCGAGGCCATTTCTCTCCTGAATGAGATGTTTAATAATGTAGGAGGTGCCTCTGACCCAGCCAGGGCAGGGTGCGCTTGAGCATGTGCCTGTGTGTGGGTCTGTGCATGCATGCATGAGTAGATCCATGCCCTTTGGAGTATGCAAGTACGTGTCCACAGAATGTGTTGGGAGATGCCCCCTTCCACATCCCCGGCACCCCCTTCCCTTCACACCATTGTTCCTCGCTGCCCAGTGAGCCTTGGAGAGGGGGAGCGATGTAGGGGTGTTGCTGAGAATTTGACGGATGACAACTGCGAGCCAAAACCATGCCTGTCCCATTTCTGTGCTGGTGGGAGACAGGACATAGCCAAAACAAACCAGATGCCCAGACGGGCTGTCATGGCTGACTGCAGCCTGCCAACTCCCCAGTAGCTGGGAGCTCCCCTACCACCACTAGGGACGATTTGACAGCCAGGATTGCCATAGGCAAACAAATCTCTCTGCTCTGCGTCCTCCATGGTGGCTCCAGGCTGCCCCACTGTCTCTCCACACCCCACCAGGTCCCCCTCATTGGCCAGATGGCCACAGGCATGCTCCTTTAGCTCATCAAGCTTGGTGGGTGGTCCGCTCAGGTGGTCACATAGAATTTCATCCACTCTCAGGTCACTTCCAGTGGAAAACTCAGAGCAAGCAAGGCCCTTACCGGAAGAAAGGAGTGCACCTACCTGTGTCCCCCGTGTGAACCCTCTCTCTCCTCCAGGCTTCAGTCAGTTCTCTAAGGAACTGTTCATCTCTGGCAGCCTAGCTTGTGGAGGGGTGAGCTTGAGTTCATCAAGACAGGGCTCGTTTCCGGCCTTGCTTTTCTGGAACCTTCTTCTTCGGCCCCACCCTAGAGCCTGAGTGCAGGGTGGAAAGAAACTAAGAGAGTCATGGGGCAGTAGGGCTGTGTGTGTGTGTGTTCTTTCAGCCAGCACTGCTGTAGCTTTCAGAGCAGGCTCCTGATACGGTTAGGACTGGCCTCACCCAGGATATCAGTGTGGCCGGTAGGATCTTCTGGAGGTCCCTCCTGTCAGCGCGTGTGCTCAGGAGCCCCCTACACCTCCACTCCCTTTGCAGGAGGCAATGAAGGCATCTGACGGCAGCCTCCTGGGAGACGCCGGCCGAATACCGCTGAGCAAAAAGGAAGGCATCAAGTGGCAGAGACCACAGTTCACTCGCCAGGCCCTAATGCGTTGCTGCTTAGTCAAGTGGATCCTGTCCAGTGCTGCCCCTCAAGGCTCAGGTAGGACAAGAGTGACTGGGGTCCAGAGAGGGTGGGTATGGATCACACTGAGCTCCATCCTTCCCGAGGCCACAGCAGTCACCTTGAGCCACCCTGCCTCCTCCTCTGTTGGGAAATGTGTCTCCATTCATTCACATCCTCCCCTCACTGACGCCCTGTGCCACACAGAGACCTAAGCTCTAGTCCAGTACTATTATGCTGGACTGCAGTGCACGGGGACCGAGGACCGGGGTCACACACAGGTTTTTCAGAGAGCGGCTGGGAGATAGAGGCAGGCTAGGGGCTGACAAGCCAGGCTCTACCTCACCCCGCACTTACCTGGGGAGCCAACTTGAACATCTCCTGTGTTCTTTCTAAGTCCTCTGTAGGAAAGGGCAGAGTTGAAGCTACCCTAATCTAGTCCCTCCTGGTTCTTGCCCCATGCACCCAGAGACTGAGGCTGGCATCCTAGGGTGTTCATAGCATGGGGCCGGGGCTGCCAGCAGTGACTGTGCTGTGCTTGTTCTCAGCTATGTGGGGTAGTCACCATGACTGCTAGTACAGAAGACACAGAAACAACCTTGCAGAGCCCCTGCAGCCTCTCTCACACACACACACACTCACACCTTTGCACATATGAACGTGCCTACACAAACACGCACATGCACCATGCAAGTGGAAGTACGGCCCCACGCCAGTATTCCAGGATCAGTTCCGAGGTCTCTCTCACCACACCGCGTATGATCTTGATGGCACAGAGGCGTGTCTAAGACTCTGTCGCTGGGACAAGATGAGTGCTTGGCCTGGAGACTGCTTTGTGTGTTTTCTTAGGCAACACGCTCTCTTGCTGTGCAATCTCCAGGGAGCCTCGGTCTCTTCTTCAGACACAGTCAGTGTTCCTAGCCTCCCAGGCTGGATGGTGCTCGTGAGCAGAGGGGAGATAGCAAGTGGCCTGTGCATGCATACCCATGAGGGGACAAGGCTGCTGCATCCTGACCCAGTTGTATCTGCACAGCCCACCCTGACCTGCTCGTAGCTGTATACCATTCCGAAAGGGCCCTGACCCTGGAGTGCTGGGTCCCCTGCTGTTTCATGGCTTTGCGGGTGGTAGAAGGTGTGAAGCCTACCCACGAAAGGCTGTGTGATTTGCATTGGTGTGAAGATGTTTCCCATTGTCCACCAGGGTGGAGGCCAAGAGCAAAAAGAGCTGTAGCATTCTGGTGTGGCCCCCGGTGGGGGGGGGGTGTCCAAGGGACTCGACTCCCTCCTAGATGGTTCAGCTTCCTGTCCCCTTCAAACTTAGAGTCTCCCCCTGATACCTGCCACCCTGAGCTCTCCTGGGTGACAGCTAGAATCAATGGCTTGCGGAAGCCCTCTGTCTTCCTCCATGGATGCCCACCCTGACCCGCAGTTCTGTCTACTGGGCAGTAGAGGCTCTGGGCAGGGCCATAAAGAGTTAGGTGGAGAGCAAGCAGGCTGTGTTCCCAGTCACCACTGGATAGGAGTGGTCACAGCAAAGGCCACACCCTATTCCGGGTGGCTTCTTAGAGGACAGGGCTTTCTTAGTCACACCCTTCAGAGGTACATACAGTGGAGGGTAAGGCCAGGATAGCACGGACCAGTCCTGCGTTTCATGGATGAACATGTTTATCAGAAATGGCCAGCCACTGAGAGGAGACAGGACCGATGGGAAGAAATGTGTATTACTTGTGTGAAACAGGGGCTGCAGCCCACCTCTCCCCCTTGCTTCATCTTACTTAAAACACTAAAAGAGATTAAATGGCTTGCTGGATTCTCCAGGGACTGGGGCTCGGAAGCACTCTGACCCGGAGCTCCTTCACCTTTCAGGCAGGGACCCCACAGACTAAGGAGTGGAGATCCATGTGGCCTGACTCCTTTGGGCAAGCTCCCGAGTCCCAGTTACTCAGTATGAACACATCGCCTGGGTCCCTTAAGGATGGGACTCCATCAGCGTGGCCACGCCGGAGATCTTGTGTACATGTGAAATGCCATGCTGTGGCTGTTGAGTTGGCTTCTCAGGCTCTGGGTGCACAGAACAATAAGCACCTTTCAGGGCCTCTCCATCACATGTCCGGTGAGGACTGCCACGGTATCCTGGGCACTGGGTGCCTGAGGAAGTCCAGCAGCCTGGACGCCGCCCTTGTTGGGGTTTTTCCATTCATCAGTAGGATGAGAAAAACAGGTATCCGGGTTGCTGAGAGAGGAGGTCAAGGCCCAGCACAGAGTCCCTAAGACTTGAATGAGGAGTGGACTTAAACCCAGAGTAGGCAAGACTCACGGACCTCAGAGTAGGGTGCAAGGATTGGTCCGGTTGTGGCTGTGCCCTGGAAGTTAGGAGGGGTCAGCTGCAGTGGTCTCTAAGATACATGGGTCCAGAGGCTAGGGCAGGGCAGGCAGCTTGACTCCCAACCCAGAAGTACCAATTCTCAGCCCAGGACCCCAGGGACAGCTCAGTGCACCAGAGCTGTGACTCTGGCCTGCTCTGTGGGTGGCCCTTCCTGGCAGAATGCCTTCTGAGGCACGGTTCCAGTTGTAGCTGATGCCACCAACTGGACAGACCTGCTTCTCAAGTCTGCCTCCCCGGGAGATCTGTGAGATTTGGGTTTCTTCAATTATCTAAGTTAAAATAAAATCCTCCCCAATTGTCTTGGGGTCCTGGCTGCCTGAGTCAGGCAGAAGGCCCAGACCCTGAGTCTGGAGAAGGTCACAGAGACTCTAGAGGAACAGGGAACGAGTATTACAAAGCCTATATGCCAGCTGCCGAGGTGGGAAATGCTTCCTATGCTGGGCAGCTCGTTCTGTGTCACACAACACAACCATTCATGGAAGCAGGAATGCACTCCCACCCTCCGCTGAAGGGTAGACCCACAGCCTCATCAAGTCACGGGGCGATTCAGGCACAGGAAAGGACGGATGGACTCCCTGCACCTCGAGCTGCATCATGGAGTGGCCATCTTCAATCCACTGCAGAGTTGCAGAGCAAACCGAGCCTTCACTCCTTAGAGGGCTACATCGCCTGCGGCCCTGCCTAGGGAGCTACTGTGACTCTCACTGATGAGTGTGTTAGGATTCCCAGGAAAGCCGCTGAGCTGAGACACTGTCCTCCTTGCTACTCTGTGCAGCCACCCTCAGGATCAGGACCACCTCTACCCGGCCCTTAGCAGTTACTTTCTAAATGTTAAGAACAGCTCCAGTGGGCCAGGTGACGGTCTCAGCCCCCGGGACAATAGTCCCAGGGGTGTCTCCTCTCAGGGCTTCTTCCTCTGGAACCTAAATGCTCTCATCTGAACCCAAAGCATGGGAGACAGGGAAAGCGCTTCGTGGGTAGAGTGAAGGACCACCTCCTGTGTCTCCTGACCCCTGGCCTTCCTTCTGGACATGGAGGTAGATCGTGTTTAGCGCTGTGGACTGCGTATGACTGTGCCTGAACCTTGCTTCCAGTCTTTCCCTGTCTTAAGTGGGCATCTCTACTCTTCCAGAAGTGCCAGGAATGGGGAGGGGAAATGGGTATCAGGACATGGACCAAGCCCCTTGGTTAACAACAGTGATGAATGTGACCTCCAAATATGGTACGCACAGCAATAGGCATGCTGGAGGGTCTGAAGCCAGGGCCTAGTCAATCCTAGTGAGGACTGAGTGGTCTTGTCTGCAATTGAAGGATGCTGCTGAGTTTGGCTGCCACCTGCTGGCTAACTGAGCACATGACAACAGCTGCAGCCGCGCCGCTGGGAAGGGGAGGCTCTTCTCTCCAATGCTGAGTAATGGAAGTCAAATGGGATAAATGGTAATTTGCTTATGGGCAGGTGCTGCCATGGCTGAAAGGCCACCTGGCTCCAAGGCTGGCAGGCACCTGCCCAGCCTTGGCACCCTCTCAAAAGCATTTAGAGAGGATTCATCCCCTGGATGGGTCCTTCTCCGACCATGTCCCTCTTCCCACCTCCCTGACACCTGACTCCATGGTTAACCACAGGCCATGATCAATGGGAACAGCTCCTTCAGGCCACCTCTCCTTCCAGACAGCATGGGAAGCAGCTCTATATAGTATTCTCCTAGCCACAAGGATAGGAAAGGAGTCCCTTTCCACTGCCCATACCCCAAGGGGCTTAGCTGGTGTCACCTTTCCTGCCTCTCTGCCTGTCAAATCACATGCCATTTCCCTCCTCAAACAGTCTAAGAGACTCCCGTGAGAAGTCAGTGTGGTTGAGAGAGAGGACCAATGGCAGGGCTGAACTACTTGTCTTCCTGTATACCCCATCCCCAGCGTCAACCACCCTGGCTTAGACCTCACACACATCAGCACACCTGGTGATAGAAAGATCCACACACAATCCACTAGGCCTGGGGCCAGAGGTAGATGCCCAGTTCCTGGGGGATGGGGGGGAGGTTTAGCTCGGGGCTCACAGCTACCCAGCACCTACAGTCTTCAGTTCATCTCCATGACAGCCCAATAGCCAGCAACTAGCTGAATGCAAAGGAAAGGAGAATGTTGCCAAAAGAAACATGTTTTTTTCTAGAAAGTCGAGTTCGTGAGGTTCTCTTGTTGGAAACTGCATGGACCCTGAGGGTGTCACAACTCACCTTAGACACATATTCTACAGTCACTGAATATGCTGGGTCAGTAGACCCAAGGCCAGAGCCGCCTGCTGGGCCTGCCACACAGCCTTTGTGCGTGCTCGGTAAACGGCTCGGAGCAGCAGACACAATCAGGTACACAAGTGTCAACAAACACTGTACTTTCTTCGCCTCTCAGAGTATGCGACACAAAGAGTTCAGCCTCCATGTTAGAGGAGGCAACTTAACTGTATGTAACAGAAACCCTGAGCAACTGTGGCTCCCTTTGAGTTAGGAAGTGGCTAACAAAAGTGGGCAAGTTTGGCGCTTTGGCCCTTTCTCTCCTCAGTTGCAAAGTAGTCATGTCAGCTCTATCCATCCCGGCATCACCGCAGGCAAAAACACGTGGAAGAAGAAGGTGCTGCCAGTTGTGTCAGTAAAGCAACACA